CTGCGCGGAGCCACTTGACGACCTCCTCTATTGTGACGCCTCTTGCCAGCGCGGCGGCGGGGTGGTGCGCGGGCGCAGGGAAGCGGCTCTCGGTGCACTGGGGAGGGGGACTTGTAGTACCATCTTCCACGCGCGCGGCTTAGCTACGCGCGACGCCAAGCTAATCCCCAAATCGCCACGCACACGCTGGTGCTGCTGGCCAAGGGTGGCGCCGCCGAGCTATAGTTATATGTATGACGATGTATGGACGCACGTCTGAAGGTGAACTTCTGAATTTTCTAATGCTGCCGAGGGGGAGCTAATGAACACGGGGGAACGCAGGGGCCTTCGGGATGGTATTATTTAGAGTGGCTGAGCGGGGGCAGTAGTTTTATCAATCTGTTTACTTGAGGGAGGCGGTGAGGCGGAGCAGGCAGGGGGGGGAGGGGGAGAAGGAGGAGGAGCAGCTGAAGCGGTGCCGACGCTTCATTGCGAGGCCCCCGCCGTGGACGACCATGGCACGGGGAATGAGGACACCAATCTTCTCTGATTGCAGTTTCTTCGTGCTTTTCTCTGCTTGTGTCGGCTTCTGCACCCCGTTCAAGTCCAGCGCCCCCCTTGTCTCTGTGCAGCCCCCCTCTGCACGCGTCGTCTCCGTCTTCCCCCCTTTGCCCGCTTCCCCACTCCTTACCCCCCGCTTTCTCTCCTTCCCTGTCTCTCTCTCTCTCTCTCTCTTTTTCTCTCTCTCTCTCTCTCTCTCTCTTTTTTTTTCTCTCTCTCTCTCTCTCTCTCTCCCTGTATGCCAGTCTGTCTGTCTGTCTGCCTGCTTGCCTGCCTGCCTGCTTGCCTCTCTCTCTCTCTCTCTAAGGAGGAGGAGGAGGAGGAGGAGGAGAGTAGGAGGAGGAGGAGGAGGGGAGGAGGAGAGAGGAGGAAGAAAAGGAGGAGGAGGAGGAGGAGGAGGAATCAGGAATCAGGAATCAGAACAGTTGCGAAGCAACATCCACGAGAGAAACACTCACTCCGAGCCTTGTGACTTCGGTGGGAGACCTCTCAAAAACCGATCGATATACTCCCGACGGGTGCGAGTGATCAGATCGGGACGGCACGGGTTGGCAAGGGATCGGAGCTGGTCCTTCCCGTACGCCCCACACTCCCTGCACAACCATGCACGCACTGTCTGGGAAAAAACCATTCTGTGAGACTCATGCGCCCACCCCCCGCCGACGTGGACCCCACACCCTGACCCAGGACGTGACAGCACATCATTAATGAAATGGGGCATCTCACAGGCAGAGACAAGCCAGGCCGTCCGAGCGGCCTTCGAAGACGACGAGAAACAGCGAGAGCAGCGCGCGCCTGACTCGTCCAGCACGTGCCCCGTGCTGAACGTGGCGACGGCTGCGGCCGAGGGCGGCCGCGGGGGGGGGGAGGAGGGGGAGGAGGAGGAACATCTCCTTCACCGACCTGCGGGGCGGAAGGATGACGATCGGACCCAGTATTTTGCGCTGCCATAGCAGCTAGCTGAGCCCTCATAAGTCTCTTCCGAACCAGAGCCGCTTTCCATTCGATGTCCCGTACCCTCGCCCTCTGCCCTTCAGTGACCCTCCACTCCTTGGCCGTCTCTCCAGCAATCTCATCGGCAACGGCGTTGCCAAGCAAAAAATGAAAGGGTACACCTCTCTCTGACGCTTCGGCGGTGTCGAGATGAGACGGCACCCAGATCACGGTGATGAAAGACGGGTCACGATTCTCCAAAAGCTTCCCAATCTCCCTCCAGATAGGACCTAACTCACCTTGCGGGTTCCGATAGGCTCTACTGTGCCAACCATCGACAACAGCACGATTGTCTGAAACGTAAATAAGCACTCCGATACTGAAACGTATAGCCACCTCGAGGCCACGCAACTCTCCTCGAGGAACAGTCTGAATATCTCCGACAAGTGGTCCTGACAAGGAGGGCCCGATAACTAGAGGCTCATAGCTCCTAAGAGAGACTACCGAGAACCCCACACGCCTAAGATGCTCGTCGCGAGACTCGGGCCCCCCAGACGCGTCCCCGAAGAGGACCAAGGGGGCCTCCCAAGAGCCCGCACCTAAGCACCCAAGGCCTATGGAGCCTTCTGGGGTCCCTAAGAGCTTCCAAGCCTCGACCTTTCGGCACACCCCCTCACACGTTTCGTGGCCCCACAGGGAGCTCCACGTAAGGCACAAGGGGGTGGGGTGCACCACATGCGGCCGCCTCGCCTATCTCGGCACACCCCTCACACGTTTCGTGGCCCCATCGGGTGGTCCCATAGGGAGCTCCACTGGAGGCCTCAGTAGCGCAGCCCGCATGCGTCTCCCCCATACATTACGGCACACCCTTCGCACGGTTCGTGGCCCAAGATGGGGCTCCGTTGAAGGCCCCAGTGGCGCAGTCCGCTTGTGCCCCACCCCACCCGTTACGGCACACCCATCGCACGATTCGTGGCCCCATGGGGAGTTCCGCCGAAGGCTCCAGTGGCGCGGGCCGTATGCGTCTCCGTGCAGCGCTCCATGGCCTCCTAGGTGCCCCACCGAAGGCCTCAGTGGTCGCGGCACGATGCGTCTCCCGCGCCCAGTACAGCCCCCCTATAGGGAGCTCCACCGAAGGCTCCGGTGGTTGCGGCCGCATGCATCTTCCCCACCCAGGACAGCGCTTCGTGGTCCCATGGGGAGCTCCACCGAAGACCCCAGTGGCCGCGTCCGCATGCGCCCCTCGCCACGCACTACAGCGTTTCGTGGCCCCCGAGGGAGCTCCGTCGAAGGCCCAGTGGCGCGGGTCGCATGCGTCTCCGTACAACGTTTCGTGGCCCCCTGGGGACCGAAGACCCCAGTGACCGCGGCCGCATTCTTCTCCCCCGCCCAGTGCCGCGTTTCGTGGCCCCATAGGGAACTCCACCGAAGGCACCAGTGGCCGCGGCCGCATGCGTCTCACCCACCCAGTACAGCGTTTCGTGGCCCCGTATGGGGGTTCCACCGAACGCTCCAGTGGCGCAGTCTGCATGTGTATCCCCCGCACAGTACAGCGTTTCGTGGTCCCATCGGGATCTCCACCGAGGATCCCAATGGGCCGCGGCCGCTTGCGTCTCCCCGACCGATTACGGCACACCCCTCGCGTGTTCCGTGGCGCCATAAGGAGCTCCTCCGAAAACGGTATCCACAACGCGGGACTCACAGCTCCATATGGTTGGGTCCTTCGCCAGGTTCAGTTTCTGTATCTCGTCTTGGTTCTTTCTTTGCTTATGTGTTTTTTTTGTCTCTCTCTCTCTCTGTTTTTTTTTATCTCTGCCAGAGAAGGAGGAGGTAGGAGGGAGGAGGAGGGGGGGGGAGGATGGGGGAGGAGGAGGCGGATGAGGAGGAGGAGGAGGTGGAAGGAGGAAGGAGAAAGTAGACAGGGGCTGAGGTGCTGGAGGAATCGGAGAAACATGATAGACTTAAGGTAACGATGCTGCCAGTTTTCCCCGTATCGGGGTGCGCTGTGCATATTTCGGTTGCAGGGCATCCGTCCATACACTTTCGAACATCGATTGCGCACCTAGTGCATTCGTCCACTCAAATACACCTCGGTTGTATCTCCGAGCTCGGGCGTTGTCCCGAAAGGTGATGCGAGCGTGGGGCATGTTCATATCATCCGTTCCCCTTTCGCTGCCCCTCCCTCTCCTCCTCTTTCCCTGCGTGTGGGCCAGAATATCGGCCACGCAGCCGGGACAGCTCGCTTCACGCCGTATTTGGTTCAGATCTTCGCGCTGGGGTCTAAGCGAAAAGGAACCTCTCTTGGCTCATAGGCGTGCCGTCCGTGCGGATCTGTGCCAACGCATCGTATGATGCGTATGATTTTCCACCTTGAGTCAACAACTCTCGGATCGGATGCCGCAGGAGATGCGCCGGCTGACGCATACTCGAGCTTGGTAGTCGTCGCGGCATTCGTATTCGGCCTCGCCGTGGCAGCGCTCGTGAGCTTGGTAAACAGCGACGGCAGGCATGATGGTGTGGTTGGCGTTCGTTCAACGGTCTTCTTGGCAATGGTTGTCTCGGGTCTTGCACGTGCGCGTAAATGCTATATCCTGAAGCGTGTCCAGGATATTCAGAGCGTCAGGTCGGCTAGAGTGTTTACGCCTTCCTCAGAGAAGTTACGATTGTCTCAAAGTTTGTGCACTCTGCAACATTTTGGGCTTTCGTCCTCTTCCTTATGGCAGTGTGCTTTTACGGCTGCACCACGTCTACACCGATCGTCAGTGCCATCGTTATCAGCACATCCGTTTCACCTTTCATAACCGTGTACGTGGCGAATCGACACCTCGTCAACGAGTCCGACAGCACCAGAGTGTGTATAAGTGCGGTCTGTGAGGTCGCTGCACTACGTCACCCCAGGATGCCAAGGCCTGGTTCTGAGTTCCAAGCTCCAGCCCCCCCCCCTCCCCCCCCTCTCCCGGGCCTCCCCCCCCCTCCTCCCTGGCCTACCCCTCCTGCCCCCTTCCCCCTCCCCTTCCCCCTTCCCCTTCCCCTTCCCCTTCCCCTGCCCCTTCCCCTTCCCCTTCCCTTCTCCTTCCCCCTCCCCCAGCCCCTTCCACCCCTTCCCCTTCCCCTTCCCCTTCCCCTTCTCCTTCCCCTCCCCCCTGCCCCCCGCCCCTCCCCCCCGCCCCCCGCCCCTGCCCCTCCCCCCTCCCCCTCCCCTCCCCCCCGACCCGATCGTCCCTTGGTTTTCGGGTCATGCCTCGGGTCTCCAGCGGCCCGTCGGGGCGATCCGGGCCCCCCCCCGGAACGCTCTCGGCGGGGCGCAGCTGCTGGGGAGCACCCGAGGCTGGAAAGTCGTGGGGGATCCTCAAAAACGCCCGAACACTTCGAACCTCGTCTCGCCCCCCCCTCCCCCCCCCCCCCCCCCCCTCCCCACATACGAATCTCCTTATTCTTTGTGCGCTACCCTCTACGCCCTCGACGCCGTTCCGCTCCTGCTTCCTGCTCGTGCTGCTCTGCGCCAGACTCGCCGCCCCCAGCTGCAGGAGGTGGCCCACATCCGCCGCGCGGAGGAGATCGCGAGAACGCTGGAGCGCGCTGGCGGGGCGGAGAGCGACCCCTGGTGGGAGAAGGCCAGGCTTGGGGGGCCCTTAGTGCTTTTCCCAGCCATCCCGTGGTGTAGGCTCCTTGTTTTGAACAGACAGCGCCCCGCGTCCTCTCCGCTCCTCTCCTCTCCTCTCCTCTCCTCTCCTCTCCTCTCCTCTCCTCTCCTCACCTCTGCTCTGCCTCCTCTCGCTCTCCTCTCCTCCCTCCTCCTCTCCTCTTCCTCTCCCCCCCCCCCCCCCCTCTCCTCTCCTCTCCTCTCCTCTCCTCTCCTCTCCTTAAACGTCACTGCGCAATATGAATACCACCCTCGTCTCGCCCCTGGCGACCCAGAGGTCGTAGCCTGCACCCGATCCGCATACTGTTTTTTACACATTGGCTCCCCCAAAGGCGATCGATCACGTGTTTTTTTCCAATCGGAGCGTTTTCGATGTTTCCAGAATGGCGCTCCCGCTGCAGCGCTGGCTCCATTTTTCGGCTCTCGGTCCTTCCAAGCCACGCTCCCGCTGCAGCGCTGAAATCACTTCTTCGTTGCGGATCTTCCATGTCGTGTTCCCGCCGCAGCGTTGTCTCTCATTTAACGCTTGTGCTTGCTTGTGCGTTTTCCAATCTGGATGTTGTCGGTTCTTCTAGAGAAGCGACCTCGCTTCATTCTTAGCTTCAGTTCCGCACTTCTGGCTCTTCCACAATGGCGCTCCCGTCTCATCGTTGGCTCCGTTTCCGCGTTCTCGGCCAATTTAGAGAGGAGATCTACGCCATGGTGAGGGATGGGAGGGAGGGGTATGACGGCAGACATTACGCGAGCTCACATAGTTTGCCTCTCCTCTCCTCTCCTCTCCTCTCCTCTCCTCTCCTCTCCTCTCCTCTCCTCTCCTCTCCTCTCCTCTCCTCTCCTCTCCTCTTCTTCTCCCCCTCCTCCTTTCTCCCTTCCCTGCATCTGCTCTCCGCACGACCATGTCGGCACACCGCTCACATGTTTCCTGGCCCTATAGTGAGCACCAAAGGCACCAGTGGCCGCGGCCGCATGAGTCTCCCCCACACAGTACAGCGTTTCGTGCCCCCCCCCCCCCGGGAAGCTCCAGCGAAAGTTCCAGCGGCCGAAGAAGCATGCATGTCCCCCACCTAGTACACGGCTTCGTGGCCCCATCGGGATCTCCACCCAAGGCCCCAGTGGCGGCGGCCGCATGCGTCGCGACGCGCATCGTGAAGGCGGGCCTTGGGCCATCTTCGGCCTCTGGGGGCCCTTGCTGGGCCCCGGGGCCGTCAGGCGTCTACTCGGCGTTGAGGGGTGGTCCCCTAGGAAGGAGGGGGTCGAGACCTCCCAGGTCCACGTGCCGCGAGCAAACATCCCGACGTCCGGGGTCTGGGATCACCGCCGCCACCTGGAGGGCGGGCGCAGGGGGGGGGGGCGGCGTCAGGGTTGGAGGTGCTGGTGTGCACCTTTCTGCGGGCGTTCTCTCGCTGGGCATCCTGCACACCTGCGTCCCGCAGGTCGGCAAATGCTGCGCCTTCAGGTGATGGGGGCGGTGAGTTTTCTTCTCCCTGCCATGAAGAAAAACAACATTTTTCCGTCGGCGGCGAGGCAGAAAAAGGCTGCACCAGCGATAGAGCTAAACGGGGGCACCGAGAAGCGAATTGCCCAGCATGCAGGAGCGGGGAAACGACGGACGGGGTGGCCGCGGAGGAGGAAGGCGAAGGAGAACAATAACACGCATACGCACAAACTTTAGATCTCCGCGCTTTTTGTTGTTGTTGTTGTTGTTGCTGTTGCTGTTGTTGTTGTTGTTGTTGTTGTTGTTGTTGTTGTTGTTGTTGTTGTTGTTGTTGTTGTTGCTGGTGCATCGGCGCTGGGCCCCCATCCCTGGCGCGCGGAGCGCGCCACGGGGCGGCGCCGCAGGATCCGCCAGGGGGGGAGGGCCAGGGCCGAGTCGGCACTGGGCCCCCCTCTGACGGACTTCTCTTGGATCGGCCTCCTCCTCCTTCTCCTTCCTCCTCCTCCTCCTCCTCCTCCTCCTCCCTCCCCCTTCCACTCCTCCTCCTCCTCCTCCTCCTCCTCCTCCTTATCCTCCTCCTTCTCCTTCTCCTCCTCCTCCTCCTCCTTCTCTTCATTGCCGGTCCAAGAGATCCGCGCGGACCTTTGAACGTTTGCGTTTATGCCTTATTTCCTTTTTAGAGTCGTCTTTTCCCTGCTGCCTCCTTCCTCGCGTGGAGTGGGAGATGGCCCGGCCTGGTGGCCTCAGCCGAGGGAGGCACATCTTCCACAGCTCCTGGATCGGCTCGTTCCGATCTGAGGCCTCCGCGCTGGCAGAATGCTCGACGCATGCACGAAAGCTCGTGGGTAGATTCGGTGTGCACGTTTGGTTTCGTCGCTGGCTAGTCTCGGTGGACTTTGAGCCGCAGTCGTAGTCCAACTTTGAGATGGGCCCCTGCGAAACAAAAAAGCGGGACAGCGAGGCTTCGGGGCAGGTGGTGGTGCTTACCGTGGGACGCGCCCAGCCCGTGCTGCCAGACAATTTCGGGAACGTAGACTCGTGCGTTCCGCTCGGAAACAGGATGCCGCGCGATGCTGGGGCTGGATTGGGAGAGGTCGAGACGATTATTCCGCCACCGAAATATAAACACAGTCGCCCTCCAACGTATTGTTCCTGGGCCTCAGGGGAGGGTGGCGGTGGACAACGCATCACTGAGAGCCAGCGACTTGCGCCGCCGCCCTCCCTGACGGTGCATGCACAAACTCGTCGGAGGGTGCCTGTGTGGCGTGATTTCCGACCCATCCAAGCCAATCTCACCGCTTCCCGTCGGCGGTGCCAGGACGTAGTGGCGATGGGATTTGTAGACACCAACCTCAGATCCGCCGTACCCTTCGAACTGGCGTTCCTAGTCTGGTGAAGGCAGCAGATCGTTGGAGGCTGGACGCGCACGAAACCCCGACAGGAAGAATGCACGCTTCGCTTTGGCAGCGTGCAAGTTCTGCTCAAACTGAGCACTTTGCAGCCTTTGGCTATATATATATATATATATATATAGATGTATGTATTTATATGTTTGTGTATATCTATATATATACATATATATGCAGATATAGGTGAAACTTATTGAAGGGAAAACGAAGGTGCATCTCGGTCGGGATCGGGAGATGTCCCCAGCTGCTCAGAGTGCCCCGGCCCCTCGATCGCGCGTCCCCCGCATACCAGGTTCCTGACCTGGACATCACCTCCATTGCCAAGCTCATTGCTTTCACGCTGCAGTGCATGTATCACATGCGCAGGTGAGACCAGCAGGGAAACGAGGGCAAACGACGAGGATTAGGAACGAGGATTGGTCGAAGGCTCACTGTGATATGGACCCCGAGTGGGCCTCCAGTGTGCGCTGATGCGTTCGGTCCGAGTTTGGTGAGGCTATGGTGAGGATAAAGGGTATGGTTCAGCTAGGGTAGGGCTCTGTATGCAGGGCATGCGATTTCGCTGGGGATCGTGGTAAAGTCCCGTCGAGGCTGTGTCGAGGGCCTGATACGGATTTGGCAAGGGTCCGGCGGCCCTGGTGGGCCTGGTGGGCTTCTGGTAAGGCCCCAGCAGGCTCCTGGAACGCGGCTGGTCTTTGTGTGCGCCGCAGTGGCAGCGCCACGCTGGCTCTGCGGTTTCGGCACCTGGCGTGATGTGGGCTCCTGGATTTCTGGTGGTCCTGTCAGAGTCTTGACAAGGCACTGGCGAGGCAGGTAGGATCTTGGCCCCTTGTAACTCCCTTGTGAGGTCTCGGCCAGGGTCACGGCAGGGACCTGGCAGGTTCTGATAAGGTCCTTGGGATTCTGCGACTTTGACGTCTACATCGACATATGTAGGGGGATAGTGATCAAGTGCAAGCAATGGATGAGGGGGAGGATGAGGAGGAGGAGGAGGAGGAGGAGGAGGAGGAGGAGGAGAAGGAGGAGGATGGCGAGGAGAAGAGGTGGAATATGACAGGGAAGAGAAAGATGGGGAGGATGAGGAGGAGGAGGGAGGACCAGCATCAGCACAAGCAAGAGCAGGATCATCAGCAGGAGCATGAACATGAGTACACGGAGAAGGGGAAGAGGAGGAGGAGGAGGAGGTGCGGCAGTACTAGGAGTCTGAGGACGAGGTTGAGGAGAAGGAGACATTGGAAGGGGGATGTGAAGATGTGAGGACGATGATGAGGAGCAGGATTATTAGTATTATTATTATGGTGATGATGCTGATGCTGATGCTGATGATGATGATGCTGATGATAATGATGATGGTGGTGGTGATGATGCTGATGATGCTGATGATGATGCTGATGATGATGCTGATGCTGATGCTGATTATGATTATGATTATGATGATGATGATGCTGATGATGATGCTGCTGCTGCTGATGAAGATGAAGATGAAGATGATGATGATGATGATGATGATGATGATGATGATGATGATGATGATGATGATGATGATGATGATGATGATGATGATGATGATGATGATGATGATGATGATGATGATGATGATGATGATGATGATGATGGTGATGATGATGATGATGATGATGGTGGTGGTGGTGGTGGTGGTGGTGGTGGTGATGATGATGATGATGATGAGGAGGAGGATGAGGAGGAGGATGACAAGGAGGACGTGGGGCATGCTGTTGGCGGCGTGGCTGTGGTGACGACGATGGGATGGGAGCCAACGCTCTGGTGCCAATGCAGGGACGAGCGTGCGCAGAGATGGGGGTCTCTAGGTCACCCGCCGGGGCGCGAAGAGGAGTCGCGCTTCGCGCATGGTGGTCTGGGCCAGAGCCATTGGGCGGTGCGCGGGCGCGAGGGCGCGACGTGATTTGGCCTTTGGTATGCATGCGCTTCAACCGTGTGCACGCCGCCTCGGGTCGCAGAACGCTGCCTGTCACACCGATGGTTTTCAGATCCGGTCGGCGTCACCCTAACATACTTCTACTATATGTGCGTCGCCCCCCCAGGGGCGACGCGCGCACCGAGAAGTCTTATAGTATATGTGTCGTGGCGGGCGCTTTCTGGCCGCACCTCTCGGGAAACGATATACTACAAGATGGGTATACTATATGTTCGGGTCGGACGCGCGCCGCCAAGGAGGACATGTAGTACTAGCATGTCTCTGTGCGTCCCATCCGGCAGCGGCGCCACGGCCAGGCAGCGGCAGGCCGTGCTTTCTCCGAGCAGCCGGTACGCCGCATGGCGGCAGCTCTGCCTCGTCCCCAGACGTCCGACGTGACGTGACTTTTTCAGTGCGCGGTCCCAGAGCTCCCGACGCCTTCCCCGCGGGCAGTTGTTCGCCTCGAGTCCGTCTTTTGTGGTCCTGGGGCCCGATCACGCGTCCCCCCAGCTGCCAGAATCAAGGGAAAGCGCCCCGATGTATGGAAGCAGGTATCGTCGGAAGATCTGGGTGGTTCCAGGCTGTTCTTCGCGCTTCGCGTATCCCCACCAGCCCATTCAGAATCGCTGCCCATGAGAGCTAACGGGAATGGGAGGAAGAGACACACATCGTGCATCTAAGCGGGCAACCGTGGTGAAATGGGGATGCGGAGGAGGCGGGGGAGGAGGAGGAGGCGGGGGAGGAGGAGGAGGAGGAGGAGGAGGAGGAGGAGGAGGAGGAGAAGGAATAAGTGGAAGAAGAGGACAAGGACGATGATGACGACGAGTGCAAGGACGAGGAGGAGGAGGACGAAGACGACGAGGAGGAGGAGGAGGACGACGAGGAAGAGGACGAGGACGACAAGGATGACGAGGAGGAGGAGGATGAGGAGGAGAGGAGGAGGACAAGGAGGACGAGGACAAGGAGGATGAGGACGAGGACTCTGGCAGCCATTTGAGGGTCTTCGTGATACCCTCTTTGGGTCCTCTTGTGGCTCTCTCGGGGCCCTCTTGGGACCCTCTTAGGTTTCTTTTGGGGGTCTCAGAATCCCCTTGGAGCTCTTTTTCTGGTTATTGGGCTTTCCTAGTTTGCACCTTGGGGCAATCTTCAGGCCTCAAAAGCGCATCGGAAGCGAGAACGCGAGAAGGCAACCACCATTGTTTTTTTTCAATTGGTTTTTGAACTGATGCTGGCCTCTCGGGGAGGTCCTGACGGGGCTCCGATAGCACTTCGAACCGCAGTCTGGCCTTCTAGGGCCCCCCTTGGAACCATGGTGAAGGCCATTTTGAGCGAGCTTGCGCTGTCTTGAGGCATCTTGGAGGCCATCTTGGAGCATCCGAGGCCCTCTTGGAGCCGTCTTGGGCGAAACAGACCTTCTGCCAGCTGGCGCCCCCCACACAAACCTCAGAGAGGGGAGGGGCAGGGTACCCCTCCCCGAAGGGAAGAGAGTCTTGGAAGAGGAACAAGATATCGTTTGACCACCTGCGACCAAAAGGCTGGTGGGATTAACAGTCATCGGGGCTGCGACCAGGTCCCATCGATCATGTGCGCGTGCGCGCGTGAGGTCGGCTTGGCTTCCCACGCGTGCGGCACCGTGGTGTCGGATGAACCACTGTGCTTGATCGGTACTATTAAGTCGGGCCTGTTCCTTTACAGGGGGAGCATCCCAAAATAGTCAATCAACAGTCTGGGAACGTCTGTTGTTGTTGTTGTTGTTGTTGTTGTTGTTGTTGTTGTTGTTGTTGTTGTGTTTTGTGTTTTTTTTTTGAGTATTTGTTTAGGTATTTTTTTGTCCATGTACATCTTTCGTCCAAAACCCGCCTGCAAACTACCCCTGTAGGGGGACACGCCCGACCTAACGTGACCAGCACCTCCCGGGTGCCGAGCTGGCAGGTTGCGGGAGGCATGGGGATCGAAGCCCACACCACCGCCTTGCCGCAACTTCTCGGAGCTCCGCGCGGCTCTCTTGGATCGGCGCTGGACCCGGAGGGTTTCCCCGAAGGGCTTAGGCGACCCCTCCTCCTCCTCCTCCTCCTCCTCCTCCTCCTCCTCCTCCCTCCTCTTTCCTCCTCCCTCCTCCTCCCTCCTCCTCTTTCCTCCTCCTCCTCCCCGCTCCCCTCCCCCTCCCCCTCCCCCTCCCCCTCCTCCTCCTCCTTTTCCTCCTCCTCCTCCTCCTCCTCCTCCTCATCATCATCCCCCTCCTGGGGTCGCCTACGACCCCGGGGGAAACCGTGCAGCTGGACCCCCCCTGGCCGCGAAGGGTTAGGAGGGGAACAAGCAACAAAAGCACAGACACAATTGATCGTCGGCTCCCAGGACAATCTGGGAAAGTATGGGAAGTGGGGGGCATGACCAGAACCCATAAAATAGGGGAACCTATGGGGAATCCTGGGATTTGTGACTATTTATCTGTGTGTCCCTGGGCCCCTTTAAAGGATCCCTACCTTTTCGGGCGCACTCGTCGCTTGGGTATCGGACGCCGCGTCGGGGGGTTGTATGGGTAAGTCGGGCATGCCTCTCTACGGGAGGAAGAGTCATAAACAAGAAGAAATTTGTATGGGGACGATTTTCCATGATTTTTGAATATTCGTGCGTTTTCTTAAATAGTTCTTTTCATTCTTCAGAAATCCGCCTGTAGGAGGACATGCCCGACCTAAAGGTAGGGTTCACATTTGGTTGCCCAGCCGATCTAAGGAACCCAAGCGGAGCTCCGAAGGTTTATGTATGTGCAGTTCTGGTTCTGCAGGGAAGGGGGCAGGACTTCGGAGGCCTCCGTCTCAGGTGGGAGACTGTCCTGCGCTTGGCCCGGAGCTTCAACGACGTGACCTGCTCAGCGTTCGCCACGTCCTTCTTGCCGATCACCGTGGGTGCCCAACGTGAGGCCTACGCTTCTACTAACGGGTGGGTTGGCATGTTGATTTTGATAACAGCGACCACGACGGTGCAGGCAGTCAAGTTGATGGGGAGGCGGATGATCATTACGAGAAGGAGGAGGCAGCGGAGGAGGAGGAGCAGCGGTATCAGCAGGAGGAAGACATTCAAAATGTGGCGAAGAGGGAATACGTGTATGGTGAGAAGCATTGGGAGGTGGATTAGGTCTCGCAGACGATGTCCATAGCAAGACGTTTATCAGGTGAGGGGTTAGGGAACAAATCGACCGTCATGCTGGCACTTCATAGGTGCCCCTCCAGGCTTGCTTATAGCGTATGGTTTTTGTGACATGCCGGCGGCTTCATGGCAGTGCAGTGTTGTATCCAGCTGCCTGCGGCAAGTCCTGCTACCGTGCCAGCCCAGCATTCTGGGTGGTGACTGTTCGAGGGGGCACGGGAGGCCGTCACGTGCGACACGTCGTGTCTTCAGGCTTGGCGAGCTGTGATGATGCTGCTGCTGATGAGGATGATGTTCATGACGCTGATGATGCTGCTGCTGCTGCTGATGATGTTGATGATGGTGATGATGATGATAATGCTGCTGCTGCTGATGCGGGCTTGCTTGGCTGCTACTGCTGCTTAAATGCTGTGCTGATCTTTGCTGCTATACTGCTGGCTGAATGCTGCTTGCAAGTCTGAGCGGTACTGATGCTGATGATGATGCCTATGAGGCTGCGGCTGCTGATGAATGATTAAGCTGGTGATGATGGTGATGCTATCCTGCTGATGATGCTGATGTTGCTAGCGGCTGCTGATGATGATGATGCTGATGATGCTGATATGCTGATAATGATTATGAGCTGCTGCTGGCTACTCCGATGCTGATGAAGATGATGATGATGATGAATGATGATGATGAATGATAAGATTGATGATGATAATGGTGATGAAGCTGCTGCTGATGAATCGATGATGATTGATATGGACGGTGATACTTCTGATGATAAGATGCGATGGGATGATGGTGATGCTGCTTGCTGCAGATGTATGGTGAGAGAAGAATGCAGCTGCTAGCTGTGATGCTTGATGATGATGATGATGATGATGATGATGGCGACGATCATGACGATGCTGATGATGCTGATGAAGATGCTGCTGCTGATGACGATGGTTATGTTGATGATGATACTGCTGATTATGATGATGATGATGCTGATGCTGGACACGATCGTGATGATGTTGATTATGCTGCTAATGATGATGCTGTTGATGCTGCTGCTGATCATTCTGATGCTGATCGTGATGCTGATGCTGATGATGACGATGCTGGTGATTATGCTGATGCGGATGATGGTGATGATGCTGATTCTGATGCTGAGTAGGAGGATGATGACGATGATGATGATGATGCTGATGTTGATGATGATGATGATGATGATGATGATGATGATGCTGATGATGTTGCTGCTGCTGCTGACGATTATGATGACGATGCTGCTGCTGATGATGATGCTGATACTGATGCTGTTGCTGATGATGCTGCTGATGATACTGTTGCTGATTATG